CAAAAATGTAGTATGAGTGGATATCTTATTTTAAAATAATGCATATATGAAAAATGGAGCAATGTATGTTAATTCTACTATGAGGAGGAACTCACTGGTTGTCACTTAATGCTTAAATCTTTTCTCAATTTCATCCCTCGAGACTTTATTAAGTAGAAAGATACTTTTTTGCAACCTGATATATGAGAAGAAAAAGGGAAGAACTAAATGAGGCAATTGTATCTCCTGCAACCTCTTGGAAGAAGTCAGAGATACCATATTTGCTTATGTGAAACCCGGAGACTATTTGGCTAATGTTCACATCTACCTCCATCTTACATAAATGGTGAGTCTAATATATTTTCTTTAACATTTTTTATTTCTCTTTTCAGTCTCTGCCTCAGTCCAAATGTGTGGGGAAAATGTCAGCCTGGATTTGTCAAGCAGGCTCGAAAAGGAGAGCCAGTTTGCTGCTATGACTGCATTTCTCGTCCAGAGGGGCCCATCTCCACTCAGGAAGGTGGGTGACATCATAGGGAAAGTTACTGGATTCATCCAGAGCACTTTGATCAATATGCATATCAATAACATCTGTAAGTTAATTGTTTTGTCCTTAATTTTCATGGTATCCAATTTCTTCCATAATCAGGGGGATAAGAAAACTACCCTGAAGGATGAGGTAGGAACAAGGATAGGAAGGACAGGAAATCTCTCTTTTATTTGCCAATTTGGATGCATCCTTCCATATTTATCTTTCTTAGGAACATCTGGATTCTTTGTAAATTTTGCTTACCCAAATCAGGTTTACATTACAAGCCAAAAGATTGTATCAATCAATCATTCAATTAATCAGTTAATCTTTATGAAGATCACATATCCTTATAAGCTGAAATATCTAATTGGGAGGAACAATGGAGGGAGAGAAGTTGGGTTCAAGGAACAAATGAAAACCAAACAGAGGATTCACCATACAACCATCAAGTGGATATTTTCTTCCCACCTTTTCTTATCTTTCCAATTTTCTTTCTTGTTAAATAGTGAGATACAAACAGTTATAACGCCAACAGAAAAGGAATATAGTTGTGATTCTGATAGAAAAAAAGTCTAACATACAGTGTTGGGATTAAAATGAACAGAAAGGGGGGGGAAAGAACAAATAAAAGCTTGATTTCCTTACTATATACTGATATCAATGATGAATTCGTTCTGTCTTTAAAATTGTTTCTAAATCTAGAGAGTATGGAAATGCATTGCTTCATCTTTTCATTTTTACAGAGTAAAAAATGCAGATAAGAGGCTTAGTTCCTCTTCTTGAATTCCATCATGAATTAATCTTCCTTAAGATCTCTTTGTTTTTAAATATATTTGTAGCAGAGCTGGGGTGAGATTGGGGCCAGCTGAGAGGCTTTGCTGGAGCCCTGCCGATCCGGCAGGGAAATGAGAAGCTCCGGCAGCCGCTGTTCATCTGGTGGTGGGCGTGCCCCTTGGGAGGGATCAAAAAGGAGGAAGTTGACTGAGGGGAGGAAAAAGGAATGGAAGGTGGCGATTCTTGGAGGTTGGGTGAAGAAAGAGGGATGAAGAGAGAGAGAGAGAGTAGCTTGCTGGAGTTTTTTCTGTTAAAAACAAGCCGGGCGAAGAGGGAGAGAGAGAGAGAGAAAGAAAGTGAGGGTTTTTGTGTCCTTTTTTCTTGCTTCATTGAGGGCAAGGAAGGTGGAGGGAGGGGGGAACTGAAGTTTTTACCGTTTTCTTCGTTGTGGGCAAGCCAGACGAAGAAAGGGAGAGAGGGTAGGTCGGGGGGTGGGTGTTATTTCTTTTCCTTCGTTGGAGCAAGCTAGGCGGAAGGAGAGTGAAGGAAGAGTTAGACCGGGTGTAATGTAATTTTTTTTAATAGGGAAAAGTTAGAGGGAGAGGGAGGTCATAGAGAGGTTTTTTTGTATGATCAGCTGGAAGAGGCAAAGGGGATAGAGAAGGGGAGGATTACGTAGAGTGAGGGCAGAGAGAGATGAGGAGAGTGGAGAAGGAAGGTCCCTGTGAGCTCCAGAGAGAGATTGACGATCATCTTCTTATGCAAGCTGCTGTTACCAGGAACTGACTACCTTCGTTGTACGCCAGCTGCTGTTACCAGGGACTGACGACCATTGTCACATGCAAGTTGCGGTTACCATCGTCCCGTGTAAGCTCTTACTGCCTGGGAGTGACCATTATTATTCCACGTGAGTGACCGCTGAGAGAGATCGATCATCACCGCCCCAAGTGAGTGGCTGCCGACCGTGACTGAGTATCACTGCACTATGTGGCCCTGTCAAGCAGAGGTGCCAAAGTGAGACACCCTTTGGGCTGGCAGCCAGGTCAAGAGGAGACCAGGAGGGCCTGGACTTCAGAGGTCCCTACGGGGGTGGTGCTATATATTTATAAAATTTATGTGGCTATCTATTTCAGACTAAGTGACTCTTGGTGGCATACAATTAAACCAACAATTAAAAATTAAAACAATGAGATATAAACACTAAGAAAGCAAGAGAGAAGTACATCAAGATGCTACCTATCATGCAACCAGCAGACAGGGCCCTTGTAACTAGGGGATCTCCAGGACTGTTGAAAAAAAACCACATTGTTAGGAATTTCTAGAAGGCCTCACAGTTTGGAGGTGGTTTTATTTTCAAGAAAAAATCATAGAGAAAGTAATCATGTTCATACAGATTTAGAGTTTCATATTCAAGACACTTCAGGCAAAAGACTCCTTCTCTTTGGAGAGTCTTAATATTACTATCTTATTACTTAACTTGATCATCCATGGCTGCATGACAATTTTAATTATTAATTGGTTTATTTAGCTATTTCATGATTATGTTGGAATTTAATTTCATTAATCTTATGCTCTTCATATGTTTATTTCCTTCTGTTTTGAATAAGCTTAATTTTTACATTGGTGCAAAGGAAGAATACAAAAGCTCAATAACTGCAATGAAAAAATTAAATGTTCTGAGCTGAAGAAACAATTTCACAATCATTTCCGCACTTTTATCATTAGATGTTCCTTAGTGTTTAGATCTGGCTTCAGGATAATAATGTAGCATTTGGGGAAGAAGATACAACCCAGCAGTCCAGCACTGGAGGTCAAAATGGAGAAGATCTGCACAATCACCATGGACTTTCCTTTGGTGCTCAGGTAAGTGGGCAGGAAGGAGACCCAGACACTGCAGAAGACCAGCATGCTGAAGGTGATCAGCTTGGCTTCGTTGAAGGCTCCAGGCAGATCCCTGGCCAGGAAAGCTACAGTGAAGCAAATGGCAGCTAGGAAACACATATAGCCAAGGACAAGATAAAACATGGTGTCAGAGCCTTCATTGCATTGAAGGATGATATCTCCAGGTTGGGAGTGTAAGTCAGAGTCAGGGAATGGGGGAGAAATTCCCAGCCATAAGGCACAGATGAAAATTTGGCCAGCAGAACCAGAAAGGATGATGGAGTTGGCCAAGGTCTTCCCCAACCATCTTCTCACATTGTTCCCTGGTTTTGAGGCTAGGAATGCCAGCACCACTGTGACCGTTTTGGCCAACACAGAAGACACGGCTATTGAGAAAACAATGCTGAACACTGTTTGTCGGAGAAGACAAGTGGCTTTCCTTGGTTGTCCGATGAAAAAAAAGGAGGACAAGAAACAAAGCAAGAGGGAAACCAGGAGGATGAAGGAGAGGTCACGGTTGTTGGCTTTGACAATGGGAGTTTTTAGATATTTAATGAATATGATTAAAATGAATCCTGTGGTTAGGAACAAGAGTAGGGCAAAGGAGACCAGGATGATGCCCAGATGTTCTTCATAGGACAGGAAGGTTATTCTTTTCTGGATACACTGATTTCTCTTCTTGGTTGGATATTGATCATCTGGGCACTTGCTGCATTTTTCAGTATCTGAGAAAAACAGAAGATAATATTTCTTTTATATCTCTTTTCACCTTTCCAGAAAGATCTTCTTTGGATGTCAGATGATACTGACCAACCATGGCAGGTCCCAATATTGAAAATACAAATGAGGGCTGATTGATAATACTAAGTGTGACGTGGGAACGTCCCACAAACTTTACATCATATTGCGATGGTATGCCCCCTCAGAAGGTTCCCTGGAGCCCTACATGAAATACATTGCCCTGAGGGCATTGCTTCCCAATGGCTAAACTGTCTAGATATCCAGCCATAGGCTTTGCCACTCTAGTAACTGCTCATACGTAATTTAATTTTATTCATAATTGTACCATCATTCATATTATGCATTTTTGAAATAATTCACTGTTCTGGTGTTTTATATTTTGATACACATTTTCATTTGCCGTTTCTGCTAATTTTATGTATTAATGCTGTATTCTGTTACACCATACAAAATAAATAAATTAATTAGTTGGTTCTTTTCTCCCTGCTTTCTGTTAGGTCTGATTCCTTTTATTCTCAAAAGTGGAAATAAGGCTTCCCTCCCTTTTTTTAGAACCACAACTGTATTCCTTTTTTGTTGCTGTTATAACTGTTTGTATTTCATTATTTAATATCCAAGGAAATTGAAAGATAAGTAGAAAAGGGAAGTCACAATAGCCATCCAACCAAAGAAATCATGATGGTGGTTATGCTGAATCTGGGAATGTTAAACTGGCCTAAAAACAATATTTGTGTTTTACCTCTTAATCCATTATATGGAAAATTAAAGCTCTAAAAATAAAAGTGGCAGATTTTATCCCTAATAATGGTAAATTTAATTTATGTCCTTTCTTTCACACAGATAACCCCTCCACGTTTTCTATGGCAAGTCTTCTGTGTGTATTTCTCTCATCCCTTGAATCCACCTCCTTGGATCCCTGAATTAGATCTTTCGGCTTATATGGTTCCATGACCTTAATAAAGATTGACTGATTAATTAATCAGTCTTTTGGCCTGTAATATAAACTGGGTTTGGGTGAGCAAAAGCCATTGATCTGAAACCATTTCTCAATTTCAAAGAATGCAGATGTTCCTAAGAACATGGGAGGACAGTTCCAAACTGGCAAGAAAAGAGAATTTTCCTGTGATTCAAGTAATCTTGCACAATCCAGCGTGTTCTTCTATCTCTTCCTACTTCTTCCTTCAAGATCTTTTTCTTATTCCTCCCATTATGGAAGAAATTGGGCACCTTGAAAATTAAGAACCACAAAATTGTCAACCTTAGATGTGTCTCTTTTAAAATGCACATTGATCAAAATGTTGTGGATGAATCCAGTACCCTTTCCTCTGGTGAGACTCACCTTCCTGAGTGGAGATGGTCCCTTCTTGACAAGGAACACAATCATAGCAGCAAACTGGCTCTCCTTTCCGAGCCCGCTTGAAAAATCCGGGGCGACAATTTTCCACACATTTGGACTGAGGCAGAGACTAAGGAGAAAAAGAAGGAATGCCAAAAGAAGTATGTTTGAACTAACTATCAGTGAAAAATGGAGGTAGACATAAACATTAGTCAAGCAGTTGCTGGACTTCATTTAGGTAAATAAGAAAATTTTAATTAACTCTCAACATTGCAGGGAATACAACTACTGGCAGAGTCTTCATTTAGTTCCTTCCTTTTGCTTCTAGAATATCTCGTTGTAATACAGGACATTTCTACTTAATAAATTCTGGAGATAAGCAATTGAGAAAGGATTTAAGCATGAAGTGACAAATAGTGATTCCTCCACATGTTTGCATTAAAATGCATCCCTCCTTTCTTCATAAATCCGAGTATTTAAGGTATGATGCTTTAGTCATATTAAAGTTTAGAATGGAATTTATTCTGAAAGGCTTGTGAAAATTTTATCCTACTAAATTTATTAGAACAGAATAAAAATCTGGTGAAGAAAGAAACTTCTGATAGGTGGGATCTGGAAAAGTTTCTTCTGGACTATAGGTATCATTGCAAAGCCACCCCCATTTGAAAGTGATCCAGAACCACCACCCCATTAAAATATAAAAGAAAATTTCATTACAAATTAGGGCTGTTCAATAAACTTAGAGAGAGCTTGGGAAGGATTTCATGGATGAGGATCCTTAAGGGGAAAACAACTCAAGAAGCTTGGGAAATTTTGAAAAGTGAGATTATAAAAACCCAGTCTAGCACAATACCAACGAAGAAGAAAAATAACAGTTCTCAAAAGAAACCAGCATGACTTCTCTGATAAATGGAAAGACAAAAGTGATAAGTATAAAAAGTGAAAAGAGGGGCACATAAGTAAGGCAGAATATCAGCAAATAGCCCAAGCCTGCAAAGATGAAGTGAGGAAAGCTAAAGCTCAAAATGAACTAAGGCTTGCGACAAAAGTCAAAAATAACAAAAAAAAGCTTCTTTCAACATGTAAAAAAACAAAAAAAATGTTACGGAAATGATTGGTCCATTAGTGGAAGAAAGTGGCAAGAAGATGACAAACAACAGGGAGAAAGCAGAACTACTTAACTCATTTTTTGCATCCATCTTTACACAAAGGGAAAAAAAAAAGTCCAACCTATCAAAAACAGTACTGTAAAAAACAGATTAGAAACACAAGTTAAGATAGGGAAGAAAATGGTAAGTGAGCATCTGTCCACCCTAGACGAGTTCAAATTACCAGGAGCAGATGGATTACACCCCAAGGTTCTGAAGGAACTGGCAGATGTGATCTCAGAACCACTGAACTATACCTTTCAAAAAAGATCCTGGAGTACTGGGAAACTACCAGAGGACTGGAAAAGAGCTGATGGGAAAAATGCATCCAGGAAACTACAGACCTATCAGCCTGACCTCAGTAGCTGGGAAAATTCTAGAAAAGATAATGAAGCAACCAATCAGCAAACACCTAGAGGCAAACAAAGACATTATCAAAAGCCAACGTGGGTTTGTCAAAAATAGATCATGCCAGACAAATCTTATTGCATTCTTTGACCAGGTGACAAAATTAGTGGACCAGAGGAATTCTGTGGATATAATTTACTCGGACTTCAGTAAGGCATTTGATAAAGTACACCATAACCTACTACTTGATAAGATAGAAAAATGTGCGTTAGACAGCATCACCACCAAATGGATTTGGAGTTGGCTGTACTCAGTGTATGATCCTCAATGGAACTGCATCTACATGGAGGGAAGTATGTAGTGGGGTGCCCCAGGGCTCTGTTCTGGGCCCAGTGCTTTTCAACATTTCCATCAATTATTTGAAGGAGGGGATAGATGGGAAACTCATCAAATTTGCAGATGACACCAAGCTGGCAAGAATAGCCAACACTCCAGAAGATAAGCTTAAGATACAGAAGGATCTTGACAGACTTGAACATTGGGCACTATCTAACAAAATGAAATTCAGTGGTGAAAAAAGTAAGGTTCTGCAAGAACCGTTCATATAAGGAACGGTTGCGAGAATTGGGTATGTCTAGTTTAACGAAGAGAAGGACAAGGGGGGGACATGATAGCAGTATTCCAATATCTCAGGGGCTGCCATAAAGAAGAGGGAATTAAGTTATTTTCCAAAGCACCTGAAGGCAGGACAAGAAGCAACGGGTGGAAACTAATAAAGGAGAGAAGCAACCTAGAACTAAGGAGAAACTTCCTGACAGTGAGAACAATTAATCAGTGGAACAGCTTGCCTCCAGAAGCAGTAAATGCTCCAACACTTGAAGTTTTTAAGAATAGACTGGACAGCCATTTGTCCGAAATGGTGTAGGGTTTCCTGCCCGAGCAGGGGGTTGGACTAGATGACCTCCAAGGTCCCTTCCAACTTTACTATTATTATTATTATTATTATCATTCATCGCACAGTCAGCCAGATGTTCAGACTGGATTTGGCATTTTGTCTACCTATCGAGTCATTATTATTATTATTATTATTATTATTATTATAATAATAAAAACCAAATGTACAGGTGTAGAATAGGTAGTACCTTGCTCAATAGAAGTGACTGTGAGAGGGATCTCGGAGTCCTAGCGGACAATCACTTAAATATGAGCCAGCAGTGTGCTGCAGCTGCCAAAAAAGCCAACATAATGCTAGGCTGCATTAAGGGATAGAATCAAGATCACATGAAGTATTACTACCACTTTACAATGCCTTGGTAAGGCTATACTTGGAATACTGCATCCAGTTTTGATCACCTCGATGTAAAAAAGATGTTGAGACTTTAGAAAGAATACAGAGAAGAGCAACAAAGATGATTAGGAGACTGGAGGCTAAAACATATAAGGAACGATTGCTGGAATTGGGTATGTCTAGTTTAATGAAGAGAAGGACGAAGGGGGACATGATAGCAGTGTTCCTGTATCTCAGGGGCTGCCACAAAGAAGAGGGAGTCAAGCTATTCTCCAAAGCACCTGAAGGCAGGACAAGAAGCAACGGATGGTAACTAATCAAGGAGAGAAGCAACCTAGAACTAAGGAGAAACTTCCTGACAGTTAGAACAATTAACCAGTTGAACAACCTGCCTCCAGAAGCGGTGAATGATCCAATACTGGAAGCCATTTGTCTGAAATGGTATAGAGTTTCATGCCTGAGCAGAGGGTTGGAGTAGACAACCTCCAAGGTCCCTTCCAACTTTGTTGTTGTTGTTGTTGTTGTTGTTATTTTATGTGAACTGAAAGCCTTGGATCTTCTCCCTAGGAGCAGAAGACCTATTCTTCTGTCCCCATGGTATGGAAGACAAGTATGGAAAATTCTGCCCAGTATGATATGCTTAAGAATATAAACATGCCCAGCCATGGCAAGCTAAATTTGAATTCCGAAGCGTATTTCCCAATGGTATCAACAGGAAGTGTGTCCAGTCTTGATTAGAGTTATCCTTGCCTCTTTCGTCCCACTGGGAACTTGGACATTAGTCAAAAGACTTTCATTTTATTTTGCTAATTTTAGGCACGGAAGCAAGACTAGTTGATACCATGAGCACCAAAATCCCCAGCACTTGATGTTCCCTTTTTATAGAGTTTTATATAGATATCAGGTTGCACAGGAGACACAAAATGGTTATGATCAGTGTCCTAAAGAATCATCTTCCAGCATCCCATTTTGGACACAACTGAATCAATTTAAAACAGTGTTTCATATTATAGCATCTGAAGGACTTCTTGCCAATTGTATATATATAAGGAGATCAGCCTATTTTCCAAAGACCCTAAGGCAATGGTTCTCAACCTGTGGGTCGGGACCCCATTTGGGGCCGAACGACCATTTCACGGGGGTCGCCAAACAATGCAGTCTGCCATTTTTTCCCCTTTTCCTTAGCTATGCTACTCCCTTTTATTCTATTGGCTTTTGAAAGCCAATAGAATAGAGTCTCTTGAATAGAGTCTAATTCTATTGGCTTTCAAAAGCCAATAGGAATTGTCCAGGCTGTCTCTGCCCTGCTGAGCCCACCAAAAGTCCCATTCTGCAAACGGTGCTGCACCAGTTGAGTAGTCCTCGACTTACGACCAGTTGATTAGTCCCCGACTTACGACCGGTTGGGGGTCGCGGCATGAAAAAGTTTGAGAACCACTGCCCTAAGGCAAGACAAGAAACAACAGATAGAAACTAATCAAAGAGAGAAGCAACCTAGAACTAAGGAAATATATCCTGACAGTGAGAACAATCAACCAGTGTAGCAGCTTGCCTTCAGAAATTATGGGTGCTCCAATGCTGGAAGTTTTTAAGAAGAGATTGGAGAGCCACCTGTCTGAAATTCTGCTTGAGCAGGGGGTTGGACTAGAAGACCTCCAAGGTCCCTTTCAACTCTGATATTTATTCCACTCCACTTCATTCCATTCTACTCTCCACATTCAGTTCTCACTGAAGATCATTGTATTTGGTGAATAGCCACCCATCGTAAGGCTCTGAAAAATAAAGAAAAGACACCAATATTTCACCCACCTTGTTGAGCAACTTTAGCCGTGAAAGAGCATCTTGATTGATAGTAATTCTCTGTCTTTCAAAACTCCCCATTTGCTCTCTAATGGGATCCTCCCTGGAGAGAACTATCAAGCTTATGATGTTCAGATCTGCTGTTATATCCCCATTTTGGTCCAAGTACAGTTTCATGTGGGAAAGATTGTGAAACACATTCTTCTTCAGAAATGGATGGAACTAGAACAGAAATATCCAGGAATTTTAAAAGCAGAAAACTTGTTTTTTTTTTTAAAAAAACCCACATGGTCTTTTCACATTGGAATCTTTCTTCTACAGTTGTCTAATTTGCAAATGTCCTGAGTTGGCAAATAATTGATAAAATTGGTAAAACATGGGGAGCATTCTAGACTGGATCACAAATAAATTGAACAAGCGGCTTCTGGTTTGTTCTCGCAGCTCTGGCGGATGGGTGGGATGATCACTCCCTCTGCCGTCTGGATTTCTCCCACTGGGGGACCCTGAAAAGGGTCGAAAGTCACCCTGGAGGGGCAACAAGTGGGGAAGAGGACGTCCCGATTGATCGCTACATTAACAGAATTTTGCAATTCTGAAAGTACAAATTTCCTACCAATGTTTTTTTTTTTTCAGCCTGAATATTTAGACTAATCCTTTCTCTCACATTATACCATTGTGGGCTTCTCCCCTCTTATCCGATCCTTCCCTAGGCAGCATTGCTCCTCCCTGTCCGAAAAGTCATTCCCATTCCATTTCCTAAATAGATTACGGGAATGCTGATGATTTCAGTAAAACAATTTTTTGATGTGATTAGGAATCTAGTTAAGTGATGACTGGATGGTATGTGGATAAAAATTGTTTTACTCTTTTACTCTTTTATGTGGATAAAAATTGTTTTACTCTTGTACTCAATAATTTTCAGTGTTCCCCATAAAATGTGCTAGTTATAAATAGCATTTAGTTCTTGGTCATCTATTCTTCTATATTTTGTGTATTACAGAAAACTAGAGTTGACAAACCATGATTTTTGGATAAAATATTTATAACAATTCATAGACAAAACTATTTTGAGCTTATTTAAAAAGAAAAAAAAATTATGATTTCCTGATACAGATAAATGCATAAATAGAAAAATATCTGATTTTTAGCAACAATGTATGGCATGTCTTATAAGAAAAAAAGGACGGCAGCTTTAATACCAACATTTCATTCAGAGTTCATTTGTTCATTTTCTTATGTGTCTGTGTGGGTGTGTATGCTGGTCACTGATTATAATAAATTAGTAGTATGTTCATGATTGGATAATAAACATATGTCATTGGATGACAATGTATTAATAATGCACTGGAGAAAGGATGATGGAAATTATTAAGGTGACCAACTTTTTTATAATGAAAAGGAGGACACAAATAAATTGAAGAAAAAATATCGTAAATAAAAGAAACATTTTATTCATTGCAACAATAATACAGACAACTTGCATGTGCAAAGTTTGCCAGCCGGGTGTTTTGGCACGCTCAGCAGCAATTCCTATTGGCTTTCAAAAGCCAATAGTGGGAGTAGCACAGCTCATGCAAAGGTTGAAAAAAAACCATCAAAAAAAGGTGCCGGAACACCGTTCTGAGCGTTCTATGAGGGGAAAAAAAGCCCTGCAGGTTAGTCTTCAAACATCGAAAAGGAGGACATGAAGGAGGTCAGTTTTTGAGGGAGGACAGAACTTACAAAAGGAGGACTGTCCTCCCTAAAGGAGGACGGTTGGTCACCTTAAAATTATACTTGATAAGAATATTTGTGAAATGAGGAATGTCAAATTTACACAAGCCCAAAATTTACGGGAAAACTTTTATAAAATGTTTTACAGATGGCACCTTGATCCACAAAAAATGTCTCGTATGTATTCAAACTTGCAGCCTAAATGTTGGAGATGTGGTTGCTTGGACGCCACTTATTATCATATTTGGTGGCTATGCAAAAATATAAAAGCTTTTTGGATTAAGATATGGTGGAATATTCAAAGAATTTTCAAAAGAAGGATAAAATTTACTCCACAATTGTTTTTGCTGGGTATTGTTTCCGATTGTGACAGTAAAGAAACTATATTAATGTTAAATTTAATTACAGCGGCTAGGTTGTTAGTAGGGCAATGTTGGAAGAAGGAATCTTTGCCTACTTTGCAAGAATGGTTTTTTAAAGTTTCTTACTTAGCGGAAATGGCAAAGATTTCGGCTTTCTTGAAAGATCAATCGCAAGAGAAGTACCTTTTGGTATGGAAAAGATGGATAAATTTTATACAATACAAGTATGATATAAAAAATATTATTTAGCTTTCGAATAATTTATATTCAAAGTTTAAGATATTTTTAGATATTCTTTTTTTTCTATTTTTTTTCTTTTTCTTGTTTCTTTTCTTTTTCTCTTTCTGCTTTTTAAATATTGGTGTTAAAGTATTTTATAATTTGTTTAATTATTGTAACCAAATTTGTATATGGTTTATTTGTGTTTAAAATTTTTTCTTTTAAATTTTAATTAAGCCTGTATTCAGCTCTGGGAAGGCTGGGGGAGGGTTGGGGTGGGTTGGGAGGGTCTGGGCAAGGGAACTTTTTTGTAAAATTTTAAAAATTTTCAATAATAAAAAAAGAATATTTGTGAAAATAATCTCAAAATAGTCATTTGCAAACCAAATGTGAGTTGCGAGAGTTGATGCTCATGGAAAGAAGGCAAAAGCATCCATAAAAGGTTCAGGAGTGAATGCCCTGGTTTGGAGAGACACTAACTGAAGTACAAAGTCACTTTGCAGGCACCACACTTTGCACAAATATTGGATCAGTTATACAAAAAAGCAAGGAAGCCAAGGAAGAGAGCAAAGGAGCTGCTTTTAGCCTTGAGGAAAGGCAACAAGGAAAAGAGCCATACTGGTCAATGGGCAGTGGTGGGATTCAAATATGTGAATAACCGGTTCTCTGTATGGACGCCACTTCCGGAAGTCCATTCTGGGCCTGGGCAACAAAAAATTAGCTACCGGTTCTGCCAAAGTGGTATGAAACGGCTGAATCCCACCACTGCCTATGAGGTTGAAAACCAGAAGGAGTCTGGAATCACTTTTTCCAAATGATACAATTTCTTGGTTGGAGTAGGGAGGACACGACACTCTTCCAACAAGTGAAAAAAAATGTTCCATAGAACATTTTCTTATAACTCTGCTGTTATTCCACAATGTTGGACATGGAAAAATAAGCGCAATTACAAGACAGGAGATTCTGGCTGAATGAGGTGAAGAACATCCTAAAAGGAGGAAAAAATTTAGAACTGATCCAATGAGCCAGACAGGTTTAGTCTCCACTTCACTGATTAAAGGCCTGATTACAACATATGAAGAACGATTGCAGGAATTGGGTTTGACTAGTCTAGTTAAAAGAAGGACGAGGGGTGACATGATGGCAGTGTTCCAGTATTTGAGGGGCTGCCACAAAGAAGAGGAGGTCTACTTATTTTCCAAGGTATCAGAAGGCAAGACAAGAAGCAGCGGATGGAAACTAATCAAGGAGAGAAGCAACATGGAATGAAAGAGACGCTTCCTAATAGTGAGGACAATTAACCAGTGGAACAGCTTGTCTCCAGATGTTGTGGGTGCTTTAAACTGGAGGTTTTTAAGAAAAGACTGGACAGCCACTTGTCTGAAATGGTATAGGGCAGTGATGGTGAACCTTTTAGAGACCAAGTGCCCCAAAACTGGCCTTGCTCCATCCCCCTGCCCCGCCCCCGCTCTGCCCCCCTATCCCCTGCCCCGCCTGCCCACAGGACCTCTCATCGCATTCAGGGCCCACCGCAGATCACCCAGGCAGCCCAGCAGTGCTATGGGGGGCCACACCCTCTGCCCGTGCCCTGCAGCATCAACTGCATGATGGGGTGTGAGGGCAGAGTCTTGTCTGCCTGGCTGCCATGTCCTTGGCTGCGCTGCTTCGTGTGGGCCATGGTCGAGGGTGACTCTCCTTCAGGGGGGCTTCTGGAGAGGAGGGGGTTGCGGAGGGAGGCAAGGCTGGGGCAACGGCACGTGTGCCCACAGAGAGGGCTCCGAGTGCCGCCTCTGGCACCCATGCCATAGGTTCCCCACCACTGGTATAGGGTCTCCTGCTTGAGCAGGGGGCTGGACTAGAAGACCTCCAAGGTCCTTTCCAGCTCTGTTCAGATTCTGATTCTGTTTTAATGAAAAGGCCCAGAAGCCATCAATTGGAGAAGCTTTCACTGAGATTTCTGTAAAGACAAGGGGTTGCATTACATGGTCACGGGGTCTGCTTCAAATTTATGATCACAAAATTCTAAAATGCTAATCACCAATTCATAAAGATGGGAATTTATTTTAAAATGCTTATAAAATCAACACTGGTTTAATATCAAAGTATATATGTCTGTGGAACATTGTCCACAAGGGATTAGGTTGGCCAAACTTGTTGGCCTTTTGAAGCACAAGAAGGTTGAGGCGGTTTCCCTCCTCCTTTGTATTCCCTCTCCAAAGAAAGTACGTTTGATGGTTCATTGTTGGAACCCCATACCTGCCATGGCTGCAGCCTTTGAGCCCCCAGCCTGTCTTCTCCCTCTTTTCTTCTCCTCTTGGATACGGAGGAATAGGCAGCATTCAAGGTATGGGCCAGAGTGTTAATCAAGGTGTAAGCAACGCGGTTAGATCGGTTCCAGAACCTGCTTTTTTCCACTTTGGTTTTCAGTGGTGATTTCTGAGTACATCTTCTCCGGCCTTTGAGAGAAATGATGTCTTTTGAAAAAGAACAGCGAAAAGACTGATCTCCAAACTGTGGTTGCACAAAGAGATCTGGTTTGAAGGAACTGTTGTTTGTCCATTTTTTCCACTGAAAACCATAGGTCCAAACACTATGGACATATTTGAGGAATGTCTGCCTTTTTATTTGCCGCTCCCCAAAGCTTGCAATTATCCAGACTTTTTCTTCAATAGGTTCAGGCAAACCTTGAAGTGTTGAATGGAAAAGAAGAAGTCTGTCCTGAAGGGAAAAATATTCTGTAAAATGAACAAAGACATTAACTTGTCTCCACTGAGAGACTGCATCCCTGAAGGGTGCTGTTTTTCCAGCGGTTGAGAATTGTCGTGATATAACAACACAAATTCCATTCCTGACAAGCATGGGAGTAAAAGTCCTCATGAAATTCTCTCCCTTCTCCGTATCTAAAGTGAAGAGACCAATCAAGGTCCATCTGAAATGGAGGAGCAGTTGGACAGTTCCTCTATAGAGAATCCCTAATTTGGGGAGCATCTGATAGAAAAAAGGGAATTTACTTTTATCACTCAGAGCTTCTGAAGCAATGAAATGGATCTGAAAAAAGCAGTGAAAAATACGGTATTAGGATCACTTATTAGCTTTCAATAAATCTAAATTTTGTCATGAGTATATTATACTATTGTATTGTCGATTAGCCAGTAGACCATATCAAGATACAGAATATTAAACACAGAACATTAGCAAGACCAGAAAAATAAGAAACATATTAAGTAAGAATCAGAATAAAGAGTGCAAATCATATTTCTGTATCACTCCTACTTTTTTCTGCAACCACACCCACATTTGCAGATGTCAGCTGAACTTTTTTCTTCAAATAAAGAGCCATATTATATGGAAGTTTTAAATTCTATCCACAGAGGAAATATATTGTTTTAATAGAAGGATTGCAATAGGTCATTCATTTAATGTGCAGTCTAAGGTACTGATCTGTCTCTTTCTTCCACTATTGACATTGAAATAATAGATGTGCTAAGTCTTTTGTCTCTAGATTTCCAAAAATACAAATCATTAGCAGGGACTTGGTTAAATCTGATATGAACATGTGTTTATATGTTGTATATGTTATTGCATAAAACATATGAAACATATGAAGAATATATGAAGAATGGTTGCAGGAATTGGGTATGTCTAGTCAAGTGAAAAGAAGGAGTAGGGATGACATGATAGCAGTCTTCCAATATTGGAGGAGTTGCCACAAAGGAGGGGTGGATGAACCTATTCTCCAAAGCACCAGAAGGAAGACAAGAAGCAATGGATGGAAACTGATCAAGGAGAGAAGCAGCCTAGAGCTAACGAGAAACTTCCTAACAGTGAGAACGATTAACCAATGGGATAGATTTTCCTTCAGAGGTTGTGGGTGCTCCATCACTGGATGCTTTTTAAAAGAGACTGGACAGCCACTTGTCTGGAATGGTATAGGGGCTCCTGCTCCAGCAGGGGGTCCATATTTAACTGTTGAGTCAGAGTACTTATGTGAATACCATCCTAAGATAGGCAGCCATTTTTGTATTTACATATTTCACAATTTGGAAGAGGCATTATTAGACGCTCATCCACTTCAGTTTGCCAGACTTACTGACAATGACTATATCTTCCTCTCTTTGGTATCCCAGGTTCTTTCTACAGCCATCTTTTTAGCTTGTACTCCAGTTGTACAAGAGTGAGAGAGAGAGATCACATCTCTTAATATAATTTGTAACTTTCCCAGTCCAAGAGATCTTTAATCGAAATGTCCGTTCTAGCAGGCAGAATTTTGGGAGTCAGTCAATTTCCATAGCTTAAATTTTATACCAGTAATTATGTGCCCGGATTTTAGACAAGGAAAAAAAAAACCCTCTCCCAATTCAATTCTCAGCAGAAGCTGAAGGCCTTTTATTTACCTCCAAGCTACTTGTCAGATGGGATGATTGGGTTATTTCTAGTAATGATATATTTCAGGTCCAAAACTTCAGCTCTACATAAGAACATGGGGTAACCTTGACATCACACACTTTAATAAATGAGGGTGAAGAAGATGGATAGCTATGATTTGTTTTAAAATTATGTGCCCGGATTTTAGACAAAGAAGTAATTGTGAAATCCCAATTCAGCTCTCAGAGCACCAGCTGAGGTACTTTTATTCACCCCCAAGATATTTCTCAAACGATGCGATTGGCTGTATTCTAGTAGTGATACCCCAAACTTCAGATCGATATAAGAGCACGGGCAAATCTCAGCTTTATATAATTTATTAAATGCAGTTAAGTAAGATAAACAATTATGATTTTTTTAAAAAAAAATCTAATCTGAACATTTCCGTGTGCCTTTGCCCGAAGTGAGCTCCTGTGATGGTGAGGGAGTCAAGTTCCTGTCTCAGAGAAAAAGACCTCTAGATAAAGAATGGGGTTACTTACTTGAACAGGCATTTATGACTATGCTGTCATTTCCAAAGACCATAACTTTTGAGTCTGATTTGTTAATATGCATTAATAAGATATATTGGGTCCGCAAACCACTGTTTCCCCTGACTGACATATTGTGTAATTAGTTGGTTTGTGACAAAACCATTGTCAATAATAGCAATAGCACTTAGGCTTATATAACACTTCACAATGCTTTTTACAGCACTCTCTAAGCCAGCGGTTCTCAACCTGTGGGTCACGACCCCTTTGGGGGTCGAACGACCTTTTCACAGGGGTCGCCTAAGACCATCGGCAATATTTCCGATGGTCTTAGGAACCGAGATACCGCTCCTCTATCCGTCTTCGCACAGCTTTGAGCTGGGGGCCATTGTAGCGCCGGATTCACTTCCGTCGAGCATCTCCTAAGGGAGACTGCACTGCTTCGCGGCCCTTTCCATGGAGGAGGCTGAACTAAGCTCTGCCAGTGCTGTCGCCCTCTTCTCTCTCTCTCTCTCTCTCTCCCTCTCCCCACCTGGGTGCTTCTCCAACCAGGCTGGGCAGAGCCGGCGGAGTGGCCTTCCTGCCCCCTCTCCCTGGCCAGCTGGAGCCGGGCAGGCCGGTGACCTTTGGAAGTGAGGCGAGGACAGGTGAGGCGACTGAGCCCCAGGAGCGGTAGGTGAGTGGGCGGCGTCAGTGTGCGCTTGGAGACCACTTAGGGTTGGGGGTCACCACAACATGAGGAACTGTATTAAAGGGTCACGGCATTAGGAAGGTTGAGAACCACTGCTCTAAGCAGTTTACAGAGTCAGCCTATTGCCCCCAACAATTTGGATCCTCATTTTACTGACCCTGGAAGGATGGAAGGCTGAGTCAACCATGAAAGGGTCAGGATTGAACTGGCAATGAGCTGTGAATTTGCCTGGGTTATCTGTACCTAAAGCCCTCTTATTCTTTGTCTTTTTTTCAAAGGTACACTCTTTATCTGCCCATTCTGAATTCTACTCAAGAGGAACAAGATATTGTTTTAGCCATGGTATCTATTAGACTAATCAGGCTGTAATTATAATATATTTCTCATTAAATTTACATATATATGAATTACTATGGCCATCTTCCATTCAAGTGGGATATGGCAGCTATTATTTATTTGTGCAAAAGAACCAGTTAATAGAGGGTCCCACAGATTGGGATATTTCTTGAAATGTTCAACCAGTAAAACCTTTCCAGTAGCTTTATTGCTCTTCAAGTCCTTTATGATGAATTTGATCATGAACCATTAGAACAATTAACCAGTGGAACAACCGGCCTCCAGAAGCGGTGAATGCTCCAACATGTTTTTAAGAAGAGACTAGACAGCCATTTGTCCAAAATGGTATAGGGTTTCCTGCCTGAGCAAGATGACCTCCAAGGTCCTTCCAACTTTATTATTATTATTATTACTATTATTATTATTACCATTAGCAATAGCAATAGCACTTAGATGTATATAGAATAAAATAGTTTATTGGCCAAATGTGATTGGACACACAGGGAATTTGTCTCTATATACAAACAACAAGATAATACAATCAGTGTACATACAAACAAACAAACAACATGTGCATACAAACAACATGTGCATACAAACAAGTGTACATACAAACAAAAAGGTAATACAATCATAAGATGCCAAAAGGAGAAGGTAGTAGAAAAGATGAGAAGGATAATAATACTATAGCCATACTACATGGGTAAATATCCATAGATATAAGACATAACTGTGGTAATTAGGTATTCAAGCAGAGTGATGGCACAAAGGAAAAAAAGCTGTCTTTGTGTCTCGTTGTTTTGGCAGGGGAGGAGTTGAAACAATTTATGTCCATGATGTGAGGGGTCTGTATTTATTTTCTCAGCCTTTTTTCTGGCTCATGCAGTATATAGATCCTCAGTGGAAGTCAGGCTGGTTGCAATTGTTTTTTCTGCAGTCCTAACTATCTGCTGAAGTCTGTACCTGTCCTGTTTAGTTGCTGTACCATACCAGACAGTTATAGAAGTGTAAATGACAGACTCAACAATTCCTTTATAGAATTGTATCAGCAGCTCCTTGGGCAGTCTGAGCTTTCTGAGTTGATGCAGGAAGAACATTCTTTGTTGTGTCTTTGTAATGATGGTCGTAATATTAGGCATCCATTTCAAATTCTGGGAGATTATACAACCCAGAAGCTTGAAAGCCTCTCCTGTTAATACTGTGTTAGCTAATATTGTAAGAAGTGATAGAATATCCACTTTCATCTTCACAGGTTTAAATATGTTCATCTCCAGATTGTTCCAGCTTCACCACAGGATATATACTTCCCCAAAATGCTTTACAGCACTCTATGGGCAGTTTACAATGTCAGCATATTGCCCTCAACAATCTGTGTCCTTCATTTTACCAACCTCGAAAGGATGAAAGTCTGAATCAATTTTGAGCCCTGTCAGGATCAAACTCCAGATTGTGGGCAGAGTTTGTCTTACATATCTTATATATTATATGTCTTATAAACTTTAGATAAGACAAGCCGTTGGAATTCTTTTCATGAATCTGGGATTTGTACATCATTGAAAGTATCATTACTTTGACTAAGATGATAAAAAAATAAGTGCTTTCCATCAGTGTTTCTTGTGGTACAGAAGACCCTTTGATTGGACACAGAGTCTCTCCTTACCTTCACAAAGGTGCAGCAGAAGCCCCCAAAGCAATGGGGATGGTGTAATAAGATGTCATGGTTGCTTTGATGCTTTCTCCCTCCCCATTGTCAATCCCAACACTAGATAACATTCCTAGAGTTTTCATGGAAAAAAGCAGCTCTTGAATTCCATAGATATAGTTGGATGTATTGCTTACCCATCCTAACAATTCACTCACTTGACTAGAAAGAGAAGCACACATACAAACCTGTGGAATTTTGTATGGGGCTAGTAATGTTGACATCTGGATGGAGTTGTCTCTGTCATCTCCATCAAAAAAAGCCAAAAGATTGTCTTTCTTTCCACAGCTGTAGTTGGGAACATTGGCTTCTCCAGTCGAGAGCATGTCCAGCAAGGCATCTGAAGTGACAAAGGTGTTCAGATAGTTGTCATGGAGATTGTAGCCAAGTGTGAGATTGCGCAGGAGCTGAGAATTTTTATTGACCACTTGAATAGCAAAAATAAAGCGTAGGATTTTAGACTGATCGGAAGATATTGTACTGTAAAAAAAATGTTCATTTTACAATCACTATCACCACCATCATCAATGGCAAATTATATTTTACATATTTGTTATATTTTTGCTTGACTAATAAAAATAAAGCAAAAATAAAATAAAGCATAGCACTTTTGAATAAACCTTTGTAAAAATGATCATGTTATTACCATCATCAACAGAAGCAACAACATTCTTTTTTTCCCCAATCTAATCCACTTTGTCTCTTGAAGCCTACAGAGTCTTAAGCCAATACTCACCCATCTCCATTTAATTTTCATGAATGTTGGGAAGATGGAATTGACACAGTCCTCCATCTGGGTTAACAATCACAAATACAAATTCTTTGTGGCAGTACTAATTTTCATCTGCCCAGTAACCAGGGTTCAAAATAATTGAATAATTAAAGTAGAACCACTAAAAAAAGAAGAGGATGTTTCCAAAATGACTCAAAACCAATTCTCAAAATAGGTTATGCTGTATTTCTACAAGGATCAGGAGGTAAATATGAACAAGTTGTTATATTTGAAATGGGCTGGGCAGAATAACATTCAAATAATCACTAATTTAAATAAAACTCAGTATTCAAGGCATGAATTCAAGATTGAACGGGTAGAAGAAAATAATATGGACCTCTTTCAGATTTTTTTTTCCTGTCTCATCTTTGGATTTGAATCTCTTCCTCAAAATAAGACAAAGAAAGCATGGAAATCAAAATGATTCAGGAAAGCCTAAGGACAGGTGGAGAACAAAATGAGGGTGTTAGAATTATGAACAGTGCGTATGCAACTCCATTATCTTGAATGACTTACGAGTGAGACTGACTAGAAGGAGCTTCATTGAAAGGGAACATTATATTTGATATTTTTGTTGCAGTGGTGATAATACTAGTAAGATGGTCCCCTGGTCTATAATAGCTGCATGGTTTTTTTTCATCCTGGTACTCCAAAGTCAGGGGACATTTCATTCGATGATTGCTAGAGACTGGCAGAGACAACAGTAGCATTAGAAGCAGAGGCAGGAGGTCCATAATTCATGGGGATGAATCAATCCATGTCCCGTTTCTAAACAAGGAAGAAGAGTTGAAGAATTAGGAGCCCTCTCATAAGTGCCAGTGGCTTTCCTGATTCAGACAGAGACAAAGCAAACTTCACCTGGAAAGGAGAGAAGGGTACATTTAACAGCACAGTCCGTGCCAGTCCTAAAATTCATACAACACAGAGTGTAACCTGAAGCCTTTATCCTTTTCTGATGCAAGATCCCCTCCATGTTGCTTCAGTTTGATGTTTACCTCAAAGGCAGTCACTGGAGATGGAGAAGAAGACATCTCAAAGAGCAGGATGGTGATAATTACAGTGGCAAACAACTTTTCCTCTGGGGATCCTGAACTTCTTCTGGAGTACAGCACGTTAGTGAAAAATTACACATACACCCTTGAGGGCAGTGTTACATAGTGGTTATGGTCTGTCCTGTTAGGACATATCCAGAAAATGATGCTGCAGGAAGACACAGTATTTCAACATCTATGTTGTTGACCTCTGCTCTTCCTTCAACGTGGTATCTTTTCTCCAGAGACTGCTGGGTAAGGTCATCCAGAGCGATGGAGTTTGGTGCCACTCTAGGTTGAGGACACTGAATGGTTTTGAATGGTATCATTGAGTAAATATGGAGAAAAATATAGGGCAAATATTTTTTCCCTTGATACTAATTCATTGCCCCACCACCAAAAACCAGTTTGAAGGGACATGGTTTCCCTTCTTCTGGTTGTGTTTGGATGCACTTTATAATGGTGGGGCTCTTTGACCTTCACATCTCTGAGGCTGTGTGTGATTCCCCCTCCCATGACTGCCAAGAGCTTGAAAGGGGTGATTGGGTATGCCTGTGTTCCTGGTGTATCTGGGTCAGTTGTCAGAAAAATTATGTTTCTTGTTGCAAAGAAGGTACAGTGAAATTAGTGGATCAGAGGAATGCTGTGGACATAATTTACTTGGACTTCAGTAAGGCATTTGATAAAGTAGATCACAACCTACTACTTGACAAGATAGAAAAATGTGGGGTAGAAAGCATCACCACCAGATGGATCTGTAGCTGGCTGACCGACTGTACTCAGCAAGTGGTCCTCAATGGAACTGCATCTACATGGAGCGAAGTGTGTAGTGGGTGCCCCAGGGCTCCGTTCTGGGCCCAGTGCTCTTCAACATCTTCATCAACGATTTGGATGAGGGGATAGATGGGGAACTCATCAAATTTGCAGACGACACCAAGCTGGCAGGAATAGCCAACACTCCAGAAGACAGGCTTAAGATACAGAAGGAACTGGACAGAGTTGGACTTTGGGCACTATCTAACAAAATGAAATTCAATGGTGAAAAAAGCAAGGTTCTACATTTAGGCAAGAAAAACCAAATGCACAGGTATAGTATAGGGGGTACCTTGCTCAATAGTAGTAACTGTGAGAGGGACCTCGGAGTCCTAGTGGACAATCACCTAAATTTGAGCCAGCATTGTGCTGCAGCTGCCAAAAAGGCCAACACAGTACTTGGCTGCATTAACAGAGGGATAGAATCAAGATCACATGAAGTGTTAATACCACTTTACAATGCCTTGGTAAGGCCACACTTGGAATACTGCATCCAGGTTTGGTCACCATGATGTAAAAAAGATGTTGAGACTCTAGAAAGAGTACAGAGAAGAGCAACAAAGATGATTAGGGGACTGATGCATCCAGTTTCCTGCCTGAGCAGGGGGTTGGACTGGATGACCTCCAAGGTCCCTTCCAACTTTATTATTATTATTATTATTATTATTATTATTATTATTATTATTATTATTATTATTATTATTATTATTATTATATTTGTAGCAGAGCTGGGGAGAGATTGGGGCCAGCTGAGAGGCTTTGTTGGAGCCCTGCCGATGAGGCAGGGAAGTGAGAAGCTCCGGCAGCCGCTGTTCGTCTGGTGGTGGGCGTGTCCCTTGGGAGGGATCAAAAAGGAGGAAGTTGACTGAGGGGAGGAAAAAGAAATGGAAGGTGGCGATTCTTGGAGGTTGGGTGAAGAAAGAGGGATGAAGAGAGAGAGAGAGAGAGAGAGAGAGAGAGAGAGAGAGAGAGAGAGAGGGAGAGAGAGGGAGAGAGAGAGAGAGAGTAGCTTGCTGGAGTTCTTTCCGTTAAAAACAAGCCGGGAGCCGGGAGGGGGCGGGGCCAGCTGCCAGGAAGAACGGGTGTGTTGGATGATTCTCTGAAGCATCTAACCCCGTTCCCGACTGTTTGACAGATCCTTTGGGGTCCCTAGTTCCCTGGAGGGGGACTGGGAACAACAAGGCGCCCTGGGGAGTGGATTCAGGCGGCAGCCAGGAGCCACGAACCCAGGAGAAGCTTTGACAAGTCAAGCGGAGAAGGGGAAACGGCCGACAATGGCGACAGTGAAGAAATGACAGCAGTCAGCTGGCCGAAGCTTAGCGGTGGAAAAGCTGGACGGTGACATGACAGTTCCAGTCAAATTCATCTGAGCAGAGATTCTGACTACAAGGGATCCGGTGTGAGATCGTACTGGAGGATTTCGCTTGAAACTTACTGACTTTAGTAGCCTACAAGAGGGGAGGAGGGATTTCCCTCGCTCCTGGAAAAGCGGCGAAAAGGAAGGTTTGGCTAAAAAGGCTTGCCTGCTTACCTGCTACGTTGGCTGGATTTGTGGAGAAGAGAAAAGGGGCGTCCTCCTTCTTCCCCTACTCCAGAGACTGAAATTTAGCCCTGGAAGGCTAGCTACTCTAAGGCACAAGGGAGATCGCTTGGAAGAAAAAAAACGGAGGTAGACATTTTGGAATGAATAGACAAATTTAATACCAGAGACAATATTAATACCAGAGACAATATTAGAGTGACACCTGCTGGTTAAATCGAGAATTGCTGTAAGAGTGGGAAGGGAAAAACTACTAGAGAAAGAGACTGTGTAGCAAATTTGCCCTTGCCTTGTAATGTTAAGAACTTCTTGATTCTTAGTAACAACTTTGATACTCTGGAAAACATTTTAACAATTGTAAATAAGTGGGGAGGTTGGTTTGGAAAATTGAAAAAAATGTCTAGTACTCCAAATCTTACAAGGGCTGGAATAGGGAGAAAGCAGACATTTCAAACTACATTGCTGGAACCAGGTTCTGTTAGGCAAAGATCACTAGAAGAAATGGCTCAAAAAGATAGGGCAAACCCACTTAAAGACTTGCAACAAATGCTGCAATCAATGCAAGAGTTAATGTGTAAAAACCATGAAGATCTGAAAAAAGAAATAGGTGAAATAAGGAATGATACAGGTGAACTTAAAGATAAAATTAAATCTATGGATGGGAAATTTGAATCCTTCCACCACCAACTTATGAAAAATGAACAAAAACTAGTAGAAATGGAGGAAAGGATGGATAAAGAAGAGCAGAGAGTGGATGAAATGAATGAAAGGCTAATTCAAGCCAATAAAGAATTAGAAACCACAGTTATTTCTTTGGAACTTGAGAAGGCTGCTCATTATCTACGGTTTCAAAATGTAGGAGAGATGAAAGGTGAAGACCTCCCAGTAATAATGTCAGATATTCTAGCAGGAGCGTTGGGGTCTACAAGAGAGGAGATGGCCAATGAGATAGATGAAACCTATAGAATACACACAAATTACGCAAGACGACACAATCTTCCCAGAGAAGTGCACATTAGGTTTATTAAGAAATCAGTTAGGGATGAAATTCTTTTCAGATTCAGAGATGATACACTGGAATATCGAGGTAAACAGCTGATTGTACTTAAACAAGTGCCCAAAAGAGTGAGAGACCTGCGAAGGCCTTACCAATACATAACTTCCAAACTGATAAGGAAAAATATTAATTTTAGATGGCTAACTCCGGAAGGAATTCTGGTAACATGGCAGGAGAAAAAGTTTCGCCTAGACTCAATAGAAAAAGCAGAGGAATTCTACAGGGAAAACTTTGGTAGTAAGGAAGATTTAGTCGAAAGAGAAACAAGAGAGGAAGGAGAGACACTGGTGCAAGCCATTGAAGCTAGAGGTAAAAGAGTTGAGCTTCGAGAGGACACTGATGAAGGGAAAAATGAAGAAAAGCAGGAGGTGAGTAGGTTTAAGGAAATTAAAGAGGCTAGACCAATAAGATCAACAGTGGAAAGAGGGAAGGATTTACAAACTCAAGTGTCTAGACCAGCAATAGTAACTAGATCTAAACATAGATAAGGAGGGGAAGAAATGTGTTGAATCTGTATCTATCAACGTTAATGGCCTCAACTCTCCAACAAAAAGGAAGAAGTTTTTCAATAGGCTCAATAAGATGAATTTAGATATAATAATGTTACAAGAAGTCCACATTAAAAAACAACATCAATATTTATTAAATTGTCCTAAACTGGGGAATATGTTCGCAGCACTTTCGCAATATAAGAAAGGAGGTGTGGTAGTATATATTAAACAAGAAATTGTGGCTAAGCAAATTTATAAGGACGAAGATGGCAGAATTCTAATTGTGGAAGTAATTTTGAATAAAACCAAAATTCTTTTGGTTGGAATTTATGCCCCGAATGAGGGGCAAAAACATTTCTATAAAAAACTCTACAACATTATTAGCCAATTGGAACATGATAGCATTTGTATAATGGGTGACTATAATGCAATTGTGGATAATAATCTAGATTATAAATGTGGAAAGAATAGAAAAAGAATTAGAGGAACAATATCTGATATTTTCTTTAAAATGGTAGATGAGTTTAATATACAGGATATTTGGAGAGAAAGGAATCCTGGGAAAAAACAGTTTACTTTTTATTCTGGACGTCATCAATCTTGGTCCAGAATTGATATGGTGTGGATGTCAGCTGACTTAAATTTAGAAGTAGAGGAGATTATGATTGATACAAATACCTGGGCTGATCACAATCCGATTAGAATTAAATGGAAGGGGCAAAAAAACACGAGGAGATGGACTCTAAAAAGGGCAATCTTAAATCATAAAGAATTCAAATCAAAATTAGAAGAACAATTGGATCTGTTTTTTAAGTCAAACAAGAAGGAGGATACAAACTGCCAAAATTTATGGGATACAACCAAAGCCTACATGAGAGGCGTTGTAATTTCTTATATGGCTAGGCAACACAAAATCAAAACACAACGCCAAAGACAACTGGAAGAAGAACTACGTAAAGTTGAGGATAACCTGCAAAATGAACCACAAAGATGTGATTTGAAACAACAGATTGATTTAATTAAACATAAGATGGATATTATTACGAAGGAAGATCTAGGACAGCAGATAAAACGTACTAAACAAAATTTCTTTGAAAATGCTAATAAACCAGGGAGATGGTTGGCTTATAAAATCAAAAAACACAATAATAAGCAGAGAGTTACCAACCTTTATAACGCCAAAGGTGATATGGTGTGCCAGAACGAAGGAAAAAAGCTAGTGGCATATGAGTTTTACAAGAATTTATATAAGGACGACGAAAAGAGAAATAACCATGACATAGTACAGTATTTACAACTAGTCGATTTACCCAAGGTGCCAGAAGAATTTAAAACTCTCCTAAATAAAGAGATAACACATTTAGAACTCTCGGTCGCAATTAAGAAACAGAAGAATAATAAAACACCTGGGCCAGATGGTATACCTGCAGAAATGTATAAAATTGCACAAGAATCTTTAAGCCCAATGCTGTTGGACTTATTTAACGAGGTTTTAACCCAAGCTAAAATACCAGCTTCATGGGAAGAAGCCTTCCTCACGTTGATTCCTAAAGAAAACACCAATCTGACACAAATTAAGAACTATAGACCCATTTCTCTTTTGAATTCAGATTACAAAATTTTCATGGCAATAATGGCACAAAGATTGGAAAGGTTCTTAGTGGATTTTATACATATTGATCAAAACGGCTTTCTATCTAAAAGATATATAAGAAACAATATTAGGACTGTTTTGGACATATTGGAATATTATGAAGTACATAATGAAAAGCAAATGTGTTTAATTTTTCTTGATGCCCAAAAAGCATTCGACAATGTAAAATGGGATTTTATGTTTAATCAATTATTGTATATGGACTTTGGGGAAAATTTCTTAAATATGTTTAAATCAGTTTACTCTAAGCAGGTGGCCAAAGTAATAATCAATGGAGAACTGACTGAGAGTTTCCAAATGCAAAAAGGCACAAGGCAAGGCTGCCCACTATCACCATTGTTATTTATATTATCTCTTGAGGTATTAACTAGAGCAATCCGGCAAGATGAACAGATCCAAGGTCTAGAAATCAAGAAAGAGACATTTAAAATACAAGCCTTTGCAGATGATTTAGTTTTTATTATTGAAGAACCACTACAATCAGGGATTAGACTGATGGAAACATTGAATAGATACGGGGAAATAGCAGGTTTAAAAATAAATAAAGAAAAAACTAAAATGCTTGTCAAAAATATGACTAAAATACAGAAAAATGAATTGGTTGACAGAATTGGTGTTCAAATTACAAATAAAATTAGATATTTAGGGATACAACTGACTGCCAAATGCGCTACGCTTAAAAGGGATAACTATGATAAGTTAATAGAACAGATTCAAAAGGACTTTGATATTTGGACTAACCTACAGCTCTCTTTTATGGGCAGAATTGCGGTGATTAAAATGAATGTGTTGCCAAAAATCTTATTTTTGTTCCAATGTATACCTATAAAATTGGACAAGAAATTTTTTCAAAATTTGAACAAAATGATGCGTAAATTCATCTGGCAAGGAAAAAGAGCAAGGATTAAATTAAAATTACTACAGGACTTAAAGGAAAGGGGGGGATTTGGTCTTCCAGACTTGGAGAAATATTACCAGGCCGCAGCATTAGTATGGGTAAGAGATTGGATATTACTAAAAAATAGGAGACTATTGTGTCTGGAGGGCCATGACCTACAAATAGGATGGCATGCCATATTATGGGATCATAAATATAAAGTACATAAATATTTTCGAAGTCACTATATTAGGCAAGCTCTTATTGATGTATGGACAAAAATTTGGCAACCAAATTATACCCAAGTACCTAGTTGGATCTCACCATTAGAAATATATGTACACCCAAAATTTACTCAATTAGACAAGATCATAACATATAAAAATATCTTAGATGAAAGAGGGGAATTGAAATCCAGGAAAACCATCCACGATGAAGGGATAGAATTAGAATGGTGGGCATACCTGCAACTGCAGGCAAGATATCGGAAAGACAAAAAAGAGTTAGGCATTAAATTAGAACCAATAGAATTGGATAAAATAATTTTGGGGTCGGAGGATAAAATGATTAAAAAATTATACTACTATTTGCTAGATCAGGCAACGTACGAGGAACAAGTAAAAGTGACTATGTTGAATTGGAGTAAGGATTTTGGTCTTAATTTTGATCTGCATATATGGCAAGAACTATGGGCAAGAAACAAGAAGCTTACTTTGGCCACCTCTTACAAAGAGAACCTTTACAAAATGTTTTATAGATGGCATCTCCCACCCACAAGATTGTCTAAAATGTATACCAATGTCTCCCCTAAATGTTGGAAATGTAATTTGAAAAGTGGAACTTACTATCATATGTGGTGGGAATGCACGCGAGCTTGTGATTTTTGGAACAGGATTAAAACATGGTTGGAGGAAATATTAGAGCAAGCGGTAGAACCAAAACCAGAACTCTTTCTATTAGGTTTAACTACGCAAAAACATGACAAAGGCGTATTTTATTTAATGCTACACATTTTAACGGCCTCCAGGCTGGTTTTTGCTCAAAATTGGAGGAACAAGGAAACCCCAACGGAAGAAGAGATCCTGCATAAAATTCTAATATGTGCTGAGATGGACAGGCTTACAATGATTATGAAAGACAAAACG